TAATTTTTTTTGTCAACACTTGAAATGCTAACTCTAACGTAAAACTAACCTTGACCATAAAACTAAATTATATTTATAGTTTTCAATGGACATGTTTGTTTTTGTTTGTTCTTTAATATGGTAATATCAGCAACCACCACTTAAGTCAGCGTTATTTGTTACTTCCCTTTGGTATTTTTTACCACACCATAAAGTCAGTGTATGAACCAGTAACAAACTTTTAGCAAAGGATTTTGGTATGCTTTCGAATATTTACTATATATGTGGCGGTGGAAAATTTTTCCATGTGAAAGTGGGCGTTGACGCAAAAACATTTGGGAACCCCTGCCGTAGGCTAATGAAATTATACCCCAAACCTTAGACGGAGCCACTCTCTAATTCCCCGCATCATCAGTTTATGAAAGTATTTAGAAATTATAACGCCTAGAAAATTAAAATCATTACTTTATTTTACACTTGGAGGACTCTAGGTTGCAGTCTCTAAAGGATAAGCCGGCCCTGGTAACAATTATGCTAAAGGGACGTAACTGCGATAGCTTTTGCTGCTGCGTTTGAGATGGAATCGGCAAAGATACTGAGGAATATATTCAAATCAAGGAACCCAATTACCAAAACAAAAAAAAAACGTGTGTTCTCAGGGGTAGGCGTAACTGAACTGGCAACTACCCGTTTGTTAGACTGACTCAGGTTAATAATACTCACCGTTAATATGCTGAAATGATATGTTCCGGAATTTATTTTAAAATAGAAAGGAGAAAGTCCTTAATTATCGAGGGATATCTATAGCAGTTCACATGACCACCTGAATGTACTAATTGTACTTTTAAGATTTTAGATTAGTTAATATATGCCTCAACGTGGTGGGAGCGTAGCGGCTATTGGCGCAGGAAGTAGACTCGGCGAGTCGAGTTCAAATTCTGGTTTCGTCTGTTGTGTTCACTTTAGCATTAACACCTTTGGGAGAGGTGTGAACACACCTCTTCTTCCCTATCTAGGGGATAAATAGCAGGGAAAACACAGCTCTTTAAACTTGAGTGACAGCCAGTCTAGAAGAAGGTTTATTCTGAATTCCATGAAGTCAGTGGGAAACCACTCCACTATCTTTCCCAAGACGTCATGGTAATTCACATATAATAAAGAAAAGGAATTTAAGATCTGTGATTGCATAATTTTATGAAGGGACATGGCATTTAATAAAGATAAATTGGTTAAATGGCAAGGTAAACCGGGCTTCCTAACCTTGGGTGGAAATAAGAAAAGGAAAATTTTGAATTCCAAATTGTGGAAAATGAAACAAGAAATCACTCCACTATCTTTCCCAAAAAGTCATGGCAATTAACATCTAACAAACAAACGGAATATGGGTGGAGATGTAAGATCCACTAAATTCTGAAGGGAATTTTTTTAAATGTATAATAGAGTTCGGTCAAGTTCTAAAAGGCCTTTTAAAGCATTTTATATAGAAAACTTTCTCTTCAATAACAGTTTCTTACACTCTAAGTAACACCTTGCGTCTTAGTGGCTTTGTCGCCTTGCTTGGGGTGAAATGATTTTTAAAAAATACATACTTTATACAAGGTGATTAAAAAGTAACTCCCTATGTTATGTATGATAGACTCTCCCGTGTAACTAATAATTTTTACAAAACGGGAGAGTCCATCATAGATAAAATAAGTTTACGATCAATCACCTATATATATATATATAGGCATTGAAACGTAACTCTCCTATATATATATATATATATATATATATATATATATAGGTGATTGAAATAACTCCTTATATATATATATATATATATATATATATACACTTTGTATATAAACCCAGGATATATTATAACGTTAATTTTACTATTTAATATTTTTGAAATTATTATTATTGACATATATTTAATTCGCGAATAAGGCTTAAAGCCATAACACGTTGAAACACCAGTTCTTGTACGATCACCGAAGTTAAGCAACGTCGAGAATAGTCAGTACATAGATGGGTGGCCGCTTGGAAATGCCAGGTACTGTAAGCTTGGATGTGCGGTTGGTGTAATAACGTCTCGAAATTGGAAAGCGGAGAGCTAAGTTCCATTTCCAGTCGGGTTTGTTATATTTTCTGGCTTTAAATAACCTGCAAAGGGTTGATAGGCCGTAAAAAAACAGTCAATCAAGTAATTCACTAATACTTCAGATAATATACTTCTTGGTTTTTCTACTCGTAATAGTACCCGTGAAAATGTCACCCTTTTGCTATTTAAATTTTCTGGCGAAATATAATTCTTAAATTCAATAAATTCCTTTCGAGTTCTACAACTGCAAAAATACCCGTAGAAATTCCATTAATATATTCTTAAATATTTAAGATTAACGACTTTACCCAAATATTGCAATGACAGTCATAAATAAGAATGTTAATGATAACATATATTCCCTACAAGAAAATCTTTCTGTTAAATCTTCCTGGCTATGACAATAGACTACATTCAGCAGCAAGGCCTCTGATTAGGAGGGTTTGACAAGCGTGGAACCAACTCTTAATTGTTGTTGTTTACAATTCCACCCTGACCCAGGGTGGTAACACCTGTTAGGGCGCCACCTATGAGAAAATAGTGTCCCCCTCTAAAAAAAAAAAAATAGGATCAAAACATGAATATATAAAAATACATATAATAGAAAAAATTACCAAAAATACGTTTTCATAGTAAAAAAAAAATTACCAACAACATTCTTGGGAAAGATAGTGGAGTGGTTTCCCACTGACTTCTCTATGGCTTGGAATTCCAAATATGTATTGCTAGTAACTTTTTTTATATATTTGGAAAAAAATATTACCAAAGCTCCCAAGAAAATTGAATTTCGGTATTAATTGACCCATAAGGAATTGATATGCCGTTAAACAAACAAAACTTTCTGTTAAAACACTTTTTTAGGAAAACAGTTTTCTCAAGTTCAGTAGCTTTTATCACTCTTTCCAATATTAATAGTGGTTTCCTTCCTAACTTTTTTCTTGAAGTAGTGTGTAACGCTAATTTCTTGATTATATCATTATTTTCTCATCGAGTTACATTTGCTATTCGTTTTAGTTGTTGCTACTGTAGGTAGTCCTCAAGTGATGTGGTTTCTGTTATCTGATACGGTTCTTAATGCAAATCATTATTTAAAGAAGGAAGAGAGGTACAAATGAAAAGATTTGAAACTGACTAGTTTTCCACTTCACTAAAGCAACCGTTGAACACCTCCTGTTTCCCTCTTCATGTTTCTTTTCTCACTAAAACTAAACAGCGTCTTTGCTATGTCTTTTCCGCTTTTCCTCGCGATCAAAACGAAATAGTCCATTATTTATAAGTTACCTCTTAAATTTTTTTGTTCCCAGGTTCACCCTAACTCGTCTTGGTAGCACCTGTTAGGGCCCCAGTAATCGGCAAACAGTGAACTCCGAAACAAAAAGAAAACACTATGAAAGTATAAAAATACATTTTTATAGTAAAATTACCAGCAATACATTTTTATGAAAAAATAGCAACAATACAATTTTGAAGCGAAATACAATTTTATAGTAGAATTAACAACAATATATTTTATAGCAAAATCACCAAACTACATCGAATATACCTCCCAGAAACACCCCCCACATAGCATTATGTTATATTAGTGAATTTTCAGCTACAGGGTACGGTAGAAATACCATCAGTCTGTTATGTGCTTTGATTTACACACGCTTAGGCGATCATGTATCTTTCGATAGATGACTGACGAGGCAGATGTTTTCCGGCAGTAGGTTGCTATTTCTTTCTGTGGTAGACCAGTTGCCATCCAACCCGGTTTGTCCTGCTATTTATCCATAGCTGGGGAGGAGAGAAGAGGATTCATACCTTTCCCATTAGCACGTAAGTAAATGTAATAGATTTAACTGGAATTCGAACTCTGCTCTACCGGTTCCTCAATCAGAGCCGCTATTCATTACGCTACCGTGCCTCCACCATACCAGATTAAATAAATATAGTATAAAGAAAATATAACTGTGTTAAAAATGAGAAATAATCTATGTTTATTCGAAGAAGCTTCTGTTATTTTCAAAGAAACTGAAAGGTTAACGAATATAGATCTGATCTGTTTTGGCTACGTATCCCTTACCACAACGGATTAAATTTTAGGGTTGATTCACGAGTACGTTTGAAAAAAAACCATAAGCCAGAAAAAATTAGGAAGCCACTCTGTAGAGCCCATTAAACGTGAAGAAAAATTTAAAGAGAGAAGAGACAGAAGCTTCATTCAAATCTTGCTCCAAACTTTGGTGTACCGGGCCGTTGCAGTTCACCGTCTCTTTATTTTCTCCTTGAACACTTTTCCCCTCAAAACTAACCTGTAATTTGTTAATTGATTTAAACTGTTGTGCACATGTCTTCAATTAATTAACAACCTGTCTGTCGTCATACAAATAATAAAGTGTTTTTCGCAAGTTAGCTGGTGTGAGGTGGAAGGAAATAATAGCTTCATTTTGTCAATTTCCTGTACGCTTTTATTTCAACGTCATAGCAATTTCGGTAGAATAAGGTAAAATGGCTAGTCTCTTCTAATTCGTCTAAAAAGACAATTTTAAAATAAGTCTTTAATGAGTATTTGCAACAAGCCGCAATTTAAAAACCGTTTAAACACAAAGAAGAAACTGCAACCCAGGCAAGTGTGGCGTGAATAGTAGTCGTAGGATGGAATTAAAACTCAGGATTCATTACAGAAGAGAAAACCACAAAAAAAGTTCCGTACAAAAGAACCCACTAGGTTAACAAATAGTTATCAAACTTAACGAAGCCAGATATGGGTGGAGTCCCCAATGAAATTCGAATTTATCTACAGTAGCAATCCTCTGTGATATTAGCTTTTCCTCCAATTACTCAAGAGCGGGGTACACCTGTAGAACGAGGAATGGGAAGTATGGTAAAAAGACAAACATTACTAAAAGCTGCAAGGGATATGAAGTTGTGGGAAGCCATGATCGCCTACGCCCTGAATGGGTACAGCACGTAGAAGACGACGACGACACTAATTACTGTAGACTGGTTTAAATCAATACGGGTATCTCGGACAGATGGCACTTTTTGATAAGCCGTAGGAAAAGAATCAATCAATCGCATGTTCAGTCCATGGTATTCTCAGCATCCTTCTGTAGAACCACATTTCATAGAACGAACATGCAAATTTGGGAGAAACTAAAGCAGAAAATCTCTTAAATATAATAATATGGCAAACAAACAAACCACAAGTACTAAACTTACGCGATTATCTGTTTCACTTACTCCCAAATTTGCATGCTCGTTGTATGAAATGTAGTTCTACAGAAGGATGATGAGAATACGATGGACTGAACATGTGATTTATTGAATTATTTTTTATGGCTTATCAACCCATTACAGGTTATTTAAAGCCAGTAAATATTTTTCGATTGTAAGATTTTTTTTTAGATAATAATGATTTAGTGATACAATTCTTATTAATTAACCCACAGCCAGCGGGGGGAGGTTGATAGGGATTCGTAGCCATTGATAGTGAGATCAAATCTCGCTGGAAGATTTCTGTAAATGGTACCAAATTTGTTGATGTCCAACAAAAACATAAAATCCCTTTAGATGATTATCTCTTGCTGTGTCTTGCCACTCATGATGGGTTTGAAAGCATTTCCACTGACTGATTCGTTTTCTACTGCTTATTAAACGTTTTCAAGAAAATATTTTTAGAGTGTAAGAATTTGGTGGGGATAATAATGGTCTAGTAATAGAAGTCTAGAATAGAATTAATAACTATAAAACACTTCAAATACCTTGGTGTATGGATCTGTTATGACAAATTTAGTATAGGAGATAAGGAAATTGAATATAGAGTAAGATGTACCATGGAGAAAATTTCTTAAAAGAAAAGGAAAAACATTAACCTAAAAACTCAGGCTATGTTCTCAGTCTCATCAAATCGAGGCTTTCATGCCTGGCGCCAAACTCGTTCAGAAATATTGACATTGTCAGCAGTATACAACCGTTTTCTTAGATTAATGGTTGAAAATGGTTCCGAGCAGCAGCAATAATTAAAATGGATATCGCGTGTAACTTGAAACGAAAATAGTGATGTTGAAGTCCCAGTCTACTGTAAACAAACGTTCAGGAAGGAAGCCCTCCACCATCAATACTGGAAAGATCTATAAAAGTTAGTGAACTTAAGAAATCTATTTTCCTGAAAAATTCATTTACGAGAAAGATTTTATAAATTTCAACCGAAAGTAACTCTGGCTGTTCGTTCAGTGAATACCGAATGTTTCCTTATAAGGAAGCAGTTAATAGATCTACTTCGGGATAGTTTTCCTGCAAAAATAACTGGATTAAATTATGAAGAACCCGGCGAAAAACAATTAAAATATCTTCTTAACCATAAATCAATTCAAGACTAACTTGTTTCTAATTGCTCACTAGAAATGGGCGTACGGCCACATCACGTTGAAACACCAGTTCCCGTACGATCACAAGTTAAGCAACGTTGAGCCAGATCAGTACCTGGATGGGTAACCGCATGGGAATAGCAGATGCAGTAAGCTTGGATGTGTTGGGGTGTAATGGATAATGAATCGTAATTATTAATCGGACAGCTAAGTTTCAATTCCCATTGGGCTTTTTATTTTCACTTATGCGCAAATACCCTCGGGAAAGGTGTGAATCCACCTTTTCTCCCCCAGATATGGGTTAATTAGTAAGACTTGTATCACTAAACCATTATTATCTAAAAAAAATCCTAACAATGTAAAAATATTTTCTGGCTTTAAATAATCTGAAAAGGGTTGATAAGCTGTAAAAAAACGAATCCATCAATCAAAAAACAATTTATGTCATGAACACAATGTCAGACAAATAAATAACTCTCGAGTTTAACAAAACAATAACTAAGCAACATGCTTTCCAGCTTTGTCAGCTAGAACCTGCCTTGCCACATCCACAGAGTTGAATCACCCTCATTCCTTCAATCAGTAGAAATGCTTTCAAACCCATCATGAGGGGCAAGACACAGCCAGATATAATCATTTAAAGGTATTTTATGTTTTTGTTGGACATCGAAAATGGACAAATTTGGTACCATTTCCGGAAAACTTCCAGCGAGATTTGACCTCACTATCAATGGCTTTCAAGGTCAACATAACAAATTAATGCAATAATCATTGGTTCTAAACTTCTACAGAGGATTACTCTTTTCCAGAACTGTAATAAAATAAGAGTGAACAAATTAATAAAACCCTGCCATTATTTCCTGGGAATGCTCAAATTACCACATTGCGGGTAATTACCCAGACTTTGGAAACCGCTACTCTAAGTGGTCATTAGTTTGTAAACGATAAGACAGATTCGTTATCTCGACATTTTCTGCCTAAGTAACCTGGATTTTTTTCCGTGGCATACTGCTTGCACGCTAACACGTGACAAGATGAAAATCGAAAGGTCAGGCTAAACGGCATTGTTAATTAATTTGGGAAAGAAAGCGTGTTATAGAGAGAATAGAGCGGCGGAGAGAACGAGGGTTCTTTGGTTCAGGGCAATAGCCAGCGAAATTTCGAAGAGGCTATTACTACTGTGCAGTCGGTTCGATCTTCACTGAGATTGCCAGAATTATGGCCTTGTGTCAGGAAGATTAGACAGGGAGAAAAAGAAGTTGGCTAGAATGGAGGAAGACAAAAAAGAAGAGGGTAGGGAAGTAAAAGAGATAGAAGGGAGAAGAAAGAAAAATTATGGAGATAGAAATTGGTTGGTTGTTTTTCTTTAGCGGCATATCAACACTTCTATGGGTTGGGCACTTCGAGGCGGTGTAGTGGTTAGCAAGCTTGTCTCGCTAGAACAATTACGACTGAGTAGTGAGTTCGATCCTCACTGGGTGCACCCTACTTTCGGCCTTGTGCCACATCTAAGCTACGCTTTGAAAATCTCTATCAACACTTCTATGGGTTATTTAATGTCGCGATCTAATTATTTTGTACACAGTTTTATTTTATTATTGGATATAATAATGGTTTAGTGATACAAGTCTTGCTAATTAACCCATAGCTGTGAAGAGAAGTGATAGATTCATACTTTCCCCAATGATATTTGCGCGTAAGTGAATATAACGAACCCGACTGGAATTCGAACTCTGCTCTCCGATTATCAATTCCGAGCCATTAAACGTCACATCATCCATACATCCACGTTTACAGCACTCGGTATTCCCAAGCAGTCACCCATCTAAGCACTGACTAGGCTCGGCGTTGTTTAACTTCGGTGATCGTACAGGGACTGGTGTTTCAACGTGATGTGGCCGTAAGCCTGAGATAGAAGTGGGGGAGAAAGAGACGTAAGGGAGCTAGAAAGAAGAAGAAAGAAAAAAACTAAGAAAGGTAGAAGGGAGAAGAAAGAAAAGAAAGAAAGAAAGAAAGAAAGAAAGAAAGAAAGAAAGAAAACTAAGAAAGGTAGAAGAGAAAGAAAGAAAGAAAGAAAACTAAGAAAGGTAGAAGAGAAAGAAAGAAAGAAAGAAAACTAAGAAAGGTGGAAGAGAAAGAAAGAAAGAAAACTAAGAAAGGTGGATGAGAAAGAAAGAAAGAAGGAAAAGGCATCAATAGAAAACAAAAAGAGGGAACTGAGAATGGACGTTAGAAAGCTCATTTCAGTGGATTATTTGCTATTGTTTAAGTTAAATCCTTACTTGGTGTTCCAATCTCGTAGCCTTGTGCTGAATAAATATATGTTTGGTGACCTACTACGTGGCTAAAATAGTTACGTATTCTTTGTTAGTGTCAGAGGTCGATGTTTGAGTTTAGATAAAATTCACGATTTTTAATGCTGTTTTGTTCCAAAAGAGACGTCTGGAATACTCATGCCCGTGGGAAATTTTTAACATACGGAATAAGAGTATAACTTTATTAAATGTAAAACAAAATAATCGTGCCGCAAAGAAAATTATTTGAAAATAAGTGCACAGGGCACTATTTAATTAGACTGGTCCACCTATAAAATAGATATTTACTTGATCCCCCACTGAGTCAGGTTGTGACACAAGGTCGGTTTTTAACGTGGGGACCCGAATGTTTTCACTCGGGCCGCTGGTCCAAGCCGGTCTTAGCTGGTCATAGCTTGTCCAAGCTGGTCAGAGCTGGTCTAAGCTAGTCATAAGTCTTGGCTTGTCATAGCTGGTTCAGACTCGAGCCGGTCTAAGCTAGTCGTAGCCGTGATACTACCAGAGCAGGGACGAATCCCCACACCAGGTAAGTATTGTCCATCTATAAAATATGGGGGAAATTATTTCGGGAAATAAGTTTTATGGATTAACATTCTTTACAGAGGAATATAATAAGGAAAGAGAGAGAATGCAAAATGATAAGAAAAGAGAAGAATGTATGTCAGATGAAAGGGTCAAAGAGAGAGAGGTGAAAAGGAAAAAAGGAAATAAAGACAAAAAGGAGAAAGGAGAAAAGAATAAATAAAAAGAGAAGAAATCAGAAGAGAGTTAGTCATTGAAGGGATGAGAAATATGAGGTGATATCCTAAATTTCCCCGGGCTAAGCCTAGAAATAAAACAAGAACGCTGTTACTCTTTTAAACAATATAATTCATATATTACAGGTTGGCCATCACTAATCCGGCAATCAGTAATCCAGCTTTCACGAGTGTAATTACAGGTTTCTCGGGTCGGAGTATAAACCTGCAGATACCGTTTATTGGCTCCTGCTGCTGTATCAGCTGTTTTTGAACCTACTGACGTTTTGCCCCAGTCATGACTCCACTAATAAATTTTCATGGTCTGAAGCGCAAACATCATATGTTGCCCATGACAGATAAGGCAGAACTTCTGATGAACTCTCAGCAAAGATAGAGAAATGTGCTCGCAAGACGTAGTGTCAAAAGGACGGTTTTTCCCATGACACCGCTTTTTTAACTACTGTCACTCTTCGACAATGTTTATTGTTTTAAAAAGCGATTATTAGAATTGTAATAAAACCTAAACACATAATGAAAGTGTGCTCTTGAGAATTGACAACAAAAATAATAAACGTTATTTATTTAATAGATTTTTTATTTACAAGAATAAACTGACAGAAAAGTCCGTAAGTTTATAGTAAAAAAAATGAACGGTAGAAATGTTTCATTTATGTTCTGATCATGCAATGAACCCCAAGGTATGCTTGCCAAAGAATTCATCACTTTCAGTAAGTTAGGCTTAAATCCATCAACGATTTTATTTTATTCAAATCATCTACCTTTTATTCAAATCATCTACCTTTTATTCAAATCATCTGTGATAGTGTGACTTAACAATAGCCAAACTAAAAAGTAAAAACAATAACATGTTCAGAATTTCTAAATGAAATTTTTAATTTTTTTTGAATTGACAAGAATTCGAAAACAACGTGGCTACTGAAAAATTAACAAGTTAATTCAATATATCAAAGTTTTCCACTGATTTCTCATTTTTTTTTTATTCTAACACAAAATTCAATATAAAAGAATTTGAAACCTATCCAGAAACAGGGCTCTGGATCATCAGACTTTACTTCCAAAAGTTGAAATGAAAAATGAAAAGAAATTTACACATTTTTGACGGACCGCATCAAGCGTATGTGAAATTAACGAAGTGAGGAAGTGAGGTGGGAGAGAAGATATGAGTGAGTTAGATGTACCGTTTTCAATTCCTTATCCTAAACCCCACTCTGTGTAGGCTAAAGGTGGAAGATACAGTTAACAATAAAATAATAAATCATGTCCCTGAGATCAGGATTCACTCAAATTATATATATATATATATATATATATATATATATATATATATATATATATAGAATCCGTGGGTAAGTAATCCATACAATGTATGGGGTAATTTGTTTGGATTTCCTTGATTGTAATACACACACACACACACACACACACATATATATATATATATATATATATATATATATATATATATATATATATATATATATATATAGGTGTAACACAAAATCGTCTATATCATGTAACAGCATAATTATCCACCCCACAAAATGTTTAATATCTAAAAAAAAACACTCTAAACTAATTGAGTTTTTTTCTTGTTTTTACATATGACGTTTGGCCAAAAACTTGACACCATGTTCCATAAGAATCACTGAAGAACCCTTTGTGTTTTTCAGCTAAAAAGAGAAAAGGTTAAAATTGTTTTGTGTTAGACCCACTATCTTCCCAACTGAGCAATGGTGAAAGGAAAAAATTATTCAGGCCTTCAATAATGGTACCAACATTCATACTCAGGCTTCCGTCTTCAAAGTCCATTCAAGAACCATAAAAAAAGGTGAATAAATTTTAAAAAATAGAGAACAATAGAGAGGAAAACTGGATCAGGAAGTCACAATAGGGTGAAGGATCATCATTTCAACTTAGAGCTAAAGAGATTAATTAGAAAAGATCCAACTTAATTTGTAAGATGTTTGGCACGTGAGAGCGCAGTTTTGGTTTCGACAATCCAAAGACCAGTGAAAAAAGACTTGAAAATGAAATCGTATGTGAAACGTGTAAAGCACATTGTTACTCCAGGACAGAAAGTTTGAATGTTAGAAATGGCGAAAATCATCTTGAATAAGTTGTAAAATGAACCTGAAATTATATATATATATATATATATATATATATATATATATATATAAACTTTATTTCAATCCTTCATGAGCTTCTGATCCTTAGCTATGATTAATTAATGATGAACATGTCATTTTTTTTTTTAGTTTATGATCGATTTCATCACGATGCTTCTGTTAAGCTTAGAGAGTAATGATACGTCTTGATTGCTCAAAGTAGAATCCAATAGTGTTATAAAATTCTCGGAGAATTCCAGTAAGATATCTTTAATCATTTCAAAGCTTGATCTAACAATTGGACAATTTTGCTGTTACACGATTTGGACAATTTTGATGTAACGCCCGGTCTGTAAAATAGAAAGACGTCACACTCGAATTTCAGCCGCAACTATGAAACGAAATTAACAACAATCAAGAACAAAGTCTTTGAAAATGGCAAAAGAAGTGGACCGGAACAATAAAGAAAAGCTTTAGAGCGACAGACATTACGGACAATTTTTACACTTCCTTACTTAAACGGAAAAAAATTAATAATAATAATAATAATAATTCATCAGATTTTCCTTGTCATATTCAACGATCGTATCTATCTGTTTATCGCGTACTTCGGCGTGGTGTAATGGTTAGAGAGCTAGCCTCGCTAGATCAATTATGACTGTGTAGTGAGCTCGATCCTCACTGGGTGCCCCACACTTTCGGCCTCGTGCCACATTTAAGCTACGCTTAGAAAATTATTAGGGCATCGACGTGATGTAATGGTTAGTAAGGTTGTCTCGCTAAATCAGTTACGACTCACTGGGTGTATTATCGCACTGGGTGTATTATCGCACTGGGTGCCCAATACTTTCGGCCTTGTGCCATACCTATTTGCATCAGTAAGTCTGTAAATGTAAAGACATTCAAGAATAATCACCAAAAAGGCAAAATACCCGCTTCCGGACACACATTTATTAATCCACAAAAATTCTTTGACAATGGCTTATGAAAGTTGAAAGCGCTCATGTTCAAACAAACTCCACCCGGAAACCAAGTAAATAGTACAAAACGAAGAAAAATAAAACAACTTTCGTGGGTCTTCAGCCAATTGAAGCGCGAAACTTGACAGGTCACCATGCAGTTTTGATTCCTATATTCACAATCTATCTTTTTTTCTTTTTAATCATTTCTCCCCAAGCAGGGCGATAATGCCACTAACACGCAGAGGGTTACATGAAATGAAAGTGAAAGAGAATGAGAATAGAAGGAGTGAGGTTGAATTTATCTATTTCAATAGTAAAACAGTGGGATCTAGATGCCAATCTAGTAACACGATTAAATTCTTGGAAAAAAGCTCGTCTGAGCATTTGCCATGGAAATATTTGTAGAAAAGATCTATCTGTAAATATGTATATGTCTGCGTGTATGTCCAACGCAAAAATGTTGGTTTTTGACAATATTTTCGAAAACGTTTTTTATTTGATTAATCTATATTTTATAGGCTAGAGAACATAAATATGAAATATTAAGCAACTCCACTACTGAAATCAGTGTAGATTAAAAAAAAAAAAAAAGAAAAAAATAAAGTAAAATTAATTTAAAAAAGCAAACGTAAAATTAATTTAAAAATCTCATTAAATGTTATTTTATACTAGTACTCAAGAATTCCGTCAATTCTACTAGTTTTATTACAAAGAAATATCTTTCTTTCCTGTTTCGGAGACCCAAGTAGAAAAAATGACGCAATTTGAAATACTTGAGCAGAAATTAAGTCACCCGCGAACTGGTCAACATGCTAAATTGCTTATTTAAAAAAAAATAGTGTATTCACTAAAACTCTAATTTAATTACATTTAACTTTTTACTACTTCTGTAGCAAATACAAAAAAAAAAAAAAAAAGAAACTTTTCAATGCAATATTCTGCGATGATAGGTAACAGGGCCGGTGCAGGGGTCGATGATATAAAACCTCCCACTCTACTTACATCTCAATTTTCATAAGGCAGACGACATTTTTTTTTTTTTTTCTTAAACGTTATGCTTTATCTAGCCGGATTATCTTCCTTGTTTGTTTATTTTATTTTATTTTATTTATTTATTTTTTTTTTTTTTATTTTTGTTATTTTTTTTTTTTTTTGAATAATAAATTAACCTTAACTTCTCAACAACATGCGAATTAGCATACTCGCGATATGATAACGCTTTGTTCATTGATGGAAATAAACAAGGGCAGATGTATATGTTTGAGAGAAAATTCTTTATCTGCAGATGTACAGAAACAAAAATTAAATCGTAATTTATTCATTCAACTAACGAAATATATAACAGGAGCCTGGCGCAAGGGTCTCGTGTCCCCACGCATCAATCTATGATACTGGTCCCTACTTTACTACCTCTCAATTTTTATAAGGTATTCATATAAAATACAAATTTTATTGTAACCTAATTATGTACAATAATGGATCCTATGCAATTGAGTTGAACAATTCAACTAGAAAAACTGAAAATAAATACAATGTGTCTAAATACAAATTAGATACGTCATGATAGATCAATGAATCTTAAATAAATCAACAATGTTTCGCGACAATTTTTAACATCAACTTGAGATTTTTCTTGTAGAAAAGTTCAAATATTTTATTTTTAACACATTCAACATTTTGAATAAAAAAAATAGTGAATTTTATATAGTATTTTTTTTTCTAGGCTAAGCATGGATTCACGGATTTGGACGAAAAACCAAGAACCCAGAGTGACGTCAAAATCCACGAAAAAATTAAAAAAAAAACAAAAAAAAAAAAAAAAAACAAATGTTGATAAAATGGCGAGGGTCACCAAAGCACTGCCCCGGGCCCCCAATCAGGCTTAACTACCCCAAGTGGGGAGTGGTTCGCGGGTAGTATGCATCGGCCTTGATGGGTTTCTCAATGAGTTTTATAAACTAAAATTTCGTTTTCAATTTTAGAGCCGAATCACTACTATTAGTTCACTCATTGTTCTCGGCGTAAGGCCGTATCACGTGGAAACACCGGTTCTCGTGATTCATCATCATTCCTTACATATTCCATTCATAAGGAGGAATTTCCACTTCTCAGAAGTATTACCTTATGGAACAAACTCCAGAAAGGACGCTTTATCAACCACTATGGAGCTTACGGCCATATCACGTTGAAACACCAGTTCCCGTACGATCACCAAAGTTAAACAACGTCGATCCTGGTCAGTACCTAGATAGGTGACCGCTTAGAAATACCAGTAAGCTTGTGTGGGTGGTGTAATGATAAAAGTTTGGAATTTAAAATTGGAGAGCTGAGTTCTAATTTCAGTTGGGTTTTTTTTATATTCACTTATGCGAAAATACTCTTGGGGGAGGTATGAATCCACCTTTTCTTCCCCCAGCTATGGGTTAATTAGGAGGACTTGTATCAGTAAATCATTATCTCCCAATCTAAAAATACTTTCTGGTTTTAAATAACCTGCAAAAGATTGATAAACCGTAAATAATCATAGCAATATTCTCCATGTTTTTTTACGGCTTATCAGCATTCTAAAAGCTAAGCAAGGTGTTGAGAAACGGAAAAAAATCGTTAGAAACAAAGACTGCTGGATTTTTATGTGGTATGCATCGTCTAATATGGTAATGAATGTTGAACAGTTTCACCAATGACGAGGAAAAAGCTAGAAGCAGCAGATATATGGTTATGCAGAAGGATATTGAACATTCCATGGACAGTGCGAGGAAGCAATAAGGCAGTCTTAAAGAAAATGGTAACAGAAATAACACTTATTCTCAAAATCAGGACAGTACAGCTGAAATTCCTTATGTACATAATGAGGAAAGAGGGCTAGGGAAACTTAACACTCACAGGGCATATTGAAGGTTGAAGTTACTGCAGTGAGTAACTTGCTTGATGGGCATATGTGGATTGATGGCAAGACGTGGGAGCGGGGGATTTAACAAAGAAATAAAAAACTAAGCTAAGAGCCACAAGGGATAGAAAGTTGTGGAGAGCCATGATCGCCTATGTCCTGAAAGGACGCAGAACATAGAAGAAGAAGAAGAAGAAGAATCATTTGTAGGTTATTTAAAGCTCGAATATATTTCGGACTGTAAGAATAATTCTTTTATTTTTTTGCGTATGAATATTGTACTAAATCTTTTTTAGAATGACAATAATTTTTCTATATACGCCCTACTATTTAACCCATAGTTGGAGGAGGAGATGGATTCATACCTTTCTCAAGGGTGTTTGTGCGTAAGTGAATGTAACGAACCCGACCGGAATTCGAACTCGCTTCTCCGATTTCTCAACCCGGGTTAAGCGGTTCGTGAAAGAAAAAAAATATTAGCCCCAGGTCAGGAGAAGGCGTAAAAGATACTGTTCTTTGATCATTTTTTTTTTTAAATCTCTGAACGCAAAATATGTGTGGGTAGGGTAACGGTTGTCGGTACAAAAAAATGAATCAGTGTGCTGATTTCAAATTCCTTCCTCGCCTGCTTTATTTACTTAGCACTAACACGTTTTGAAATGGTATGAAACACCGGTTCCCGTACGATCATCAAAGTTAAGCAACATTGAGTGTGGTCAGTACCTAGATGGGTGACCGCTTGGGAATACTAGGTGCTGTAAGATTGGATGTGCGAGAGGTGTTATGGATAATTATGGGATTATGGATAATCCAAGAGCCGAGTACTTGTTGGGTTTGTGTTATTCACTTCCGCGCAAATGCCATTTCCTTTTCTCTCCCCAGCTATGGATTAATTAGTAAGACTTGTATCATTCAAACAATTATTATCTCCAAAGTAATATAATATTGCATATAAAATATTTGAATTTCGGCATTAAATACACCATAGTGGTTGATACGCCGCTAAACAAAAATAACCAACCAACTTATCGCTAAAAGCTCGAAATGATTTTGGAAATTTCAAAAATCCATATGTTAACTGAAATTTTTAGATTTATTTTCCTCTAGCTATGGGTTAAATAGCAAGACAGATTGGGCCTCCTTAGCCTTAGTAAGAGTAACCGTCTAAGAGAAGGACAACTTTGATTTCAAAACCAGCCTGAAGAGAGACTGACTCCACCAGGTGATCCCGCCTTAGAGACACCCGCTGCATCTACGTCTGCAGTATATGTGGTGTTCCTATGATCCTAATGAACAACTGGAGTCGTGATAATAACCATGATCAACAAAGCAAAAAAATGATCCATTTCTGAAAAAATATATACAGACGAGCTTCATTCTATTTAATTCGACCATTTCAAACCTTTATAGTTAAAACGAGCTTCATTCTATTTAATTCGACCATTTCAAACCTTTATAGTTAAAACGACCTTCATTCTATTTAATTCGACCATTTCAAACCTTTATAGTTAAGACGAGCTTCATTCTATTTAATTCGACCATTTCAAACCTTTATAGTTAAGACGAGCTTCATTCTATTTAATTCGACCATTTCAAACCTTTATAGTTAAGACGAGCTTCATTCTATTTAATTCGACCATTTCAAACCTTTATAGTTAAGACGAGCTTCATTCTATTTAATTCGACCATTTCAAACCTTTATAGTTAAAACGACCTTCATTCTATTTAATTCGACCATTTCAAACCTTTATAGTTAAGACGAGCTACATTCTATTTAATTCGACCATTTCAAACCTTTATAGTTAAAATTTCAAACCTTTATAGCTTCATTCTATTTAATTCGACCATTTCAAACCTTTATAGTTAAAACGAGCTTCCTTCTATTTAATTCGACCATTTCAAACCTTTATAATTAAGACGAGCTTCCTTCTATTTAATTCGACCATTTCAAACCTTTATAGTTAAGACTTGCAAGACTACGTCCATATGCTTGAATCAAAACCATTCCCTCTGCATTCCATTTACAAGAAGGATCTTTCACTCAAATTTTTTTTTCCAAGAACTACTACTTTGGGGGACAAACTCCCGTGTGGGTGCTTCCCTGAACACTACAGTATTAACCTCTGTAAGGCTAAGATCAATTGTTATTTATCCTTTATGTCCTTATAAACTTCACTTACTATTTCCTCTTCTTACATTCATATCACGCAGTTCATTCAGTAAGCCTCTACCTAGAGTGGCTCTTGAGCTTTGTATCTAGTGAACATTTGTGTAAATATATATATATATATTTCTTTCCTCAATTTTATACTTAAGCAAATGATTGTCATGAAAGAAAGCGAAAGAAAAATAGAGCAAAAAGGAAAAAAAGTGAAGGATGGCGGGACAAAAATACTTTGACGCTCTTTAGAGAATGGAGGTAAATAAAGCAGTGCACTTACTTTGTTTGCGGGTTTCGGCTTCCATCGCCAATCTTTCGTATCTCGATTCTTGGTCCATACCATAGACGCTGGCCATTCCTGGATACGTGAATTCTTCTGTCTTCTCAACAATTCCGCCGGGCAGTATCCTAACAGTGTACTCAGTGATACCGCTTGAGAGAGACTCATATTCTTTTTCGGGAATCATTTCACTTCTATCTTTTTCCATCATCTCCCCGGCAATGCTCTCCATCACAGTTTCTGCGGCATTTTCGCTGCTAACGCCCGTGAGCCCCTCATACGTGGTTTCCACCGTAACTTGCGTAAAGCTAGCATACGCCTTCTCTTGTTCGATGGTGTCCACGTCTTCGTCATCGTAAGACGCCTCGTCGGCTTGTTCGTCCGTAATGTTCAAGGGTACTGAAGTGATTGTTTCCGTCACTTGCGTTGTGACTACGCTTATGCCAGTCACGGTGGTCACTTCTTCTGTAATTTCGTCGGCGTCTTCGCTAACGTCATCTAGGACCTTGCCCACATTCATGGTCATCTGAATGCCCGTTTCTGTACATAGAGGGTCCCTCAAAAACTCACCTCCCATGTCAGTGTCATCCGTGATATTAACGTTCTCCATACCACCTGACATCATAGAGGTGTCGTCTCCGTATCCAGCCTCTGTATAGCCGACATCAGCGTCATCAGTACCTTCGACGTCATCTCCACCTCCACTCATCATTGTATCACTCATGCTAACCTCTGACATATCTTGTCTTTGCTCAGGGCTAGCAATCTTACCTTCCATCATGGGCGAGCCGGGAGATGGGGAATTTTCGGCACCGACACTAGATCTCTCACCCATCCATTCTTCATGGGCAGCTGGAGAGGCACCCGGAGAGGCACCCGGAGAGGCACCTGGAGAGGCACCTGGAGAGGCACTCGGAGAGGCTATCTGTTGAGGATATCCTCCGCTCCCGGTACTTCCAGTTGGGGTGCGTACTCCACCCTCAATGTCAGCTTCTCCTGTCGGCTCATCGGTAATTTCGGCTCGAGGACTTGACTGACCGCTTGAACCTCTTTCTGCAGCTTGTTCGGGTGACATGGCGTATTGTTCATCCGTAACGCCTGTCATATCACCACTTGTATCTTCTTGTTGTTCTACCGTATCTTCGTTTTGTGTGGTGTCATATTGCTGGTCACCTGAGCCCTGGTATTGTGGGCTATCATACTGTTGTTCTCCGGAACCCTGATACTGTGAACCTCCGTATTGCTGTTCTTCAGGTTCTTGGTATTGTGTACCATCATACTGTTGTTCTTCGGTTCCTTCATTTTGTATACTGTCGGAAGCTGGTACATTGTCGATGTTTTCAGAGGTGTTTGTTGCAGGAGGACTATCCGGCTGTGTTGGGGAAAATCTGGCTGTGTCCGACGTTCCACTCTCAGCGGACATATTGTCAGTGCACGGATCGGGGTTGTCTGTCATATCAGCCATAGTGAAAGCTTAGGTCTGTTTCAAACGACAGCTAACTAGCAATGTAACTCCAGAACACAAAACACTGCAGGTTGGGATTCAAGAAGCTACTGAATTTGTATACCGTTCCACCATGACACATCGTAAGTGTATGTGAAATTACTAAATTGCTCTGTTGCCTCAACCTATTAATTCATGGCACCTTGAAGGCTTGGGAATTCCGACCGCGTTCCGACAGTTGAAGTAAGCTTGGGCCAGGCTACTGGTCGATAGGCAGAAACCCTGGTTTGTTTGACGGGGAAATATTTCCTAATAAAATACTATAAAAACTACATTCGTCTACAGCTTACAAATCAAAGGGGTTGGAAGTTGGGGGGGTGACGCTATTGGCTGAAAAAGAGAGAAAGAGAGAAAATGGGCATGTCGTTGAAATGCAATGAGACGGTGTAGAGAAAGAAGAAAAAAAGCGACGGTAGAAAAGAGATAAATGAAGATAAGAGAGAGAGAGAGAGAGAGAGAGAGAGAGAGAGAAAAGGCGGTAAAAAGAAGAACAGAGAATAAGTAGAAAGACACGAAGAGAGAAAAAGATAGAGAGGAAATGAAAAATGCAATGAGAGGTGAGGGAGAGGACATTAAGATGCAATGAGAAAAAGAAAAGGAGGTATAAAGAATCAAATAAAGACTGAAAGAAAAGAAGAAAGAGAATAGGCAATCAAACGTGAAGAGAGAAGTAGATAGGTAGAGAGAGACTGAGAGAGAAAGGGAGGAGCGGATAGATTTAAAAAAAATGTATGTGGGTAGTCTAAAAGGTTTAATTTAAATTAAGTTATAATCCGGCCGCTTGTCAAAGAGGGACGGACTGAGGTAGGTGGACAGTTACAAAAGAAGAGTGAAGGGTGGAGTTTTACCGGCTGACAAACAAGAGTGGGAGGTTTAGTAATAAAATGGAGATAGATAGAAAGGACTTGAAAAAGCAGATGACTTTTTGCATTGTGGAGGATGAACCTTTTGATTTGGGGTAGGTTCGGAGAAGAAAAGCTGCTTCTCATTTCTACCTCCTTACCTCACATTTTGTCTTTCATATTTTCTGTTAATGAAACTGATTTTAATTTTATTTGATTTGGTTACCGAATTTCCTTCCTTCCTTCCTTCCTTCCTTCCTTCCTTCCTTCCTTCCTTCCTTTTTACTTTCTCTTTTTCTTTTCTTTATCTCTAGTTATGTCTCTTTTCTTTTCTTTTTTCTTATATCTCATTTTCTTCTCCTCCATCTTATTTATTTATGCGTTTCGTTTTACCTTCTTTCTTATCTTTCACTTTCTTCTTTTCTTTATCTCATTTCTTCCGACATTTCTTCACTTCTTACTTTTTTTCTTTCTTCCTTATCATTCGTTTTCTTCCTCCTCTTTATTTTATTTATTTACATTTACCTTTTTCTTTCTTTCTTTCTTTCTTTCTTTCTTTCTTTCTTTATTTATTTATTTATTTCTAATCGTTCATTTACTTTATTTTTTTTTATTTTCTCTCTTTTTTTATCGCTCACGTTCTACTTTTTCTTTGTCATTTCTTTCTGCCTTTCTTCACTTTAATCTTTCTTTCTTATATTTCTTATCGCTTATTTTTTCTTTTCTTTTCTTTATCTTCTATCTTTTTTCTCTCACTTTCTCCTTTTTTTTATTCTATTTTTCTGCCTTTTTTCACTTTAACTTTTCTTTCTTTATGTTCTTTCTTATCGTTCATTTCCTTCTTTTTCTTTATCATCTTTCTTTTTTTATCATTCACGTTCTGCTTCCCTTTCTTTATCGTCATTCTTTCCTTTTTTTTTATCGTTTATTTTCTTCCTTTTATTTATCTTATCTTCCTGCCTTTCTTCACTTTAACTTTTCCTTATCTTCCTTCTTATCATTCATTTTTTTATTCTTTCTTTTCCTTTATCTTGTCTTTCTTTTTTCTACTCATCGTTAATTTTCTCCTTCCTTTTCCTTATCGTCTTTCTTTTTTTTTTCTTTAATCACTTTCTAATTTTCTTTCTTTCTTATTTTTTATTTTATTTCTCTTCTATTCTTTTTCATTGTTTTTGCCTTTCCATTTCATCTATGATGCACACTGTCTCTGGTACTAGCAGCCCCATCGACTATTCTTTTAGAACATAAGCATTTCTTAATAACAATCATTATCAAAATCTAATCTATGTTAATCTATTCAAAATATGTTCGCCCATTCTTATTTCATTTATTAAAATGTTCTTGACTGTGATTCATTTTCTAGATGGTGTGAATAACAAATCGCCATTTAGTTTGACACGCAGCAAACGATTTCATATAAGAACTGCTACCCAAAACTACAGGGAATTTCTTCTTCTTCTTCTTCTTCTTCTTCTTCTTCTTCTTCTTCTTCTTCTCTATGTGCCGTGTCCCTTCAGACGATTATGGCTCTCCACAACTTCCTGTTTTTTATAGCTCTTATAAATTTTGTTCCTTTTCCTCTCTCTCTCTCTCTCTGTCTGTCTGTCTGTCTCTCTCTGTCTGTCTGTCTGTCTCTCTCTCTCTCTCTCTCTCTCTCTCTCCTAAACTCTATTCTTCTATCCGTTTGCACAAGCTCACTAGGTAGGTTATGCGTTGTTTTCCTCTGTTGCTCTTATCTTCATTCTGTCCTGTGCGTATCAAATTTTCCAAACCTTCGAGAAATTTCAATTCTCTTTTTCCGATATTAAGTGTAAGTGTCCCTTTTATTTCCATTTTCTCTAAAACTTCGTCGTTACTCACATGTTCGGTCCATGATATTCTCAGCATCCTTCTGTAGAACCACATTTCTGTTGCTTCCGTTGTCCTCCTTATCCACGTAACAGTTCAGTACTCTTTTCTTTGTGTCTAATGAAATTTTCCTGTTTCTTAATAATCTGCTCAGTTTTTGGAAGGCATCTTTCGTTATCCCAGTGCTCCTTCGGATTTCAGTGTCACACTTTCCGTTCTCTTGTAAAAGACTTCTCAGATATTTAAATATTTGTATTTGTTTGATTTTAGTATCGTCGATTTGTAATTTGCATGTTAAGCTGTTCATTTTGCTAATAACTATGCATTCTTATTTGCAATTGATGTTTAATCCTTTCTTCTTACATTCCTTCATTAGCTTCTGTAGGAGTTCTTGTAGTTTCCTTTCTGTGTCTGCTATTAACACTGTCTCATCTGCATATGTTGTTAAGATTGTGGCCGCCAATAATGAATTCTGGTAGGAATTATAATGCTCTCATAATCGCCTCACTATATAGGCTAAATAAGTTCGATGAGAAGACACATCCTAGTTTTACACCCCTTCCTACTTTTGAATCTTTACTGAATTCATCTCGCCATTTCGGCTTCAGTGACCGTAACACAACTATTATGCGCCTTTTCTATAAATACTTTCATGGTAATTGTTCTGATGTAAATATTCATTGGGGTTTCATTTTTAAATGTTGTTATTTTTATCCCCCACTCCAATTAAACTGTTGTGGTAGGATCCACCTAATTTGCATAGTGGAGTACCGACCATATAAATATGGTTGGTACCGGGAAGAGAGGAAGGAATCAAGAGATTCACTCTCAGTCAAACTCTCTGCATTTTGAAGTGAGGGACCCGGACGAGGCTTTGCCGAGAGGCAGGGTTTCGTCCGGGGTGGTAGACAGGCCTTGAACCCGTCTAGGCGGGTTCAGAAAGGCCATATTTTTGGCCGAGCCAAAAACCCACTTTAAACCGGCCTTGTGCCACATTTTATCCTCGTGGGTGGATAGATAAATACAGGAATCAAGAGATTCAACCAGAGACTGCCCGACTGCGACTCAGTCAACACATTCTCCAGGAACGGTCTTACCAGGAATATACAAAAGACTATATATGTTAAGAAATGGACGAGGTCCGACAATTTATTTATTAAAGACATTTTTATTTATGTTTAACGTTGTTATTTTATAGATACAAGTATTTAAGCAAATGCTCTGTTTATGATAAACAGTATTAAATAACATTTACCGGCCTGAATGTCCGAGAAATTTTCATAGAAAATATTCGTTCATAGACAGGATTCGAACCTGCATCCTATACGGAACCGTCATATACGCTGACGTGCCTTGACCACTCGGCCACCATGAACCTTATGGTAGACAAGGTCGAATTTACTGTTATAAACTACAATCTTCCATGAATCTCGTACATTCATAACTGCTCTGGCGTATCGAATGTAAACAAATGACGTCATATGTTAAGAAATGGACGAGGTCCGACAATTTATTTATTAAAGACATTTTTATTTATGTTTAACGTTGTTATTTATAGATACAAGTATTTAAGCAAATGATGCAGTATTAAATAACATTTACCGGCCTCGAATATAGGATGCAGGTTCGTCTCTATGAACGAATATTTTCTATGAAAATTTCGTTCATTCAGGCCGGTAAATGTTATTTAATACTGTTTATCATAAACAGAGCATTTTTAAATACTTGTATCTATAAAATAACAACGTTAAATAAAAATAAAAATGTCTTTAATAAATAAAAGACTATATGTAAATATTGTGTACACTTTCTTGTTCCAATACATTTTGTTCTAAGTACATTTTGTGTTGCATTATTATTCCATGCATTAGTCAAGTTTCAACACAAACAAATTGTACATATGGAGACTAGTTATGGACTATATAGAGACTTTGAAGTATTATAAAGCCTTTAGTAAGAATGGTATGTAAGAATGTGTTGTTTTGGTGTAAGGAATACTGTGATCGTGGCTAGCTGAGTTTAAGATAAGACAGATTGAAAACCAGCCTTATACTAATCCCCGCTTTGGCTTTGCGCCACATTTTTTGTATTAAAACAAAATAAATATTACTTTCCGCTATGGTACCTAGACTTTATAGATTTAAGCGTAGTACTAGATTAGCGGCAATGTCTCGTCATTTTAGAGTTGAAATGGCTGGGCGTAAGTTTTATGCTAACAGTTTCTTCTATCGCACTTCCTGCATGTGGAACTCCCTTCGCCATCTTATTTCCAAGTCAACTTTGATCTTCAAAAATATAAATGCAATGTCAATCGTTATCTTCTGTCTTCTTAATTCTTGTTCTTTTATGGTCCTCTCTCTTTAATAGCATATTTTCTCATAGTCTCTAACAGTCAGTAACCTATTGCGTCTTAGTGGTTTTATTGCCTTACTTGGGGTGAAATGATAAAAAAATTCAACTGTAAAATGTTGAGACTTTGCCGCCAATCTTGTACTGTGCTTAAATTCGTAAAGTGTAGGTACCAAAAAGGAAAGTCCATCAAAACAATTACCGTGAAAGTATTTATTTAAAAAGTCACAGGGACGCTAGGTTACGGTGATGGGAAAGTGACTGAAGCTGAAATGCCAAGTTAGGACCGAAAAAGTCTTTGGAGTTTATTAAGAATCTCTTAAATCATAGTAGGAGCACCAGACCAAATGTAACAGCAATATTCAATGTAATGACGAATGATACTTATAAATATGTAAGATATATAGATTCTGACAAGAAAAATTGTCTATCACGACACAGTGAAGAATCTTGCCTAGCAGCAGGCCTAACAATTGATTCAATATAATTTTTCCACTCCATGTTAGCGTGAAACGTTAGAACGGGAAGATGAAATAAGTCACTGTTCTGGAGGTTAGAATCAGAAGGTAAAAAGTGTTCCCTCAGATGATTAAAATAGTGCAGTTTCGCTCTGGAGGCGTTAAAATTTACAAGCCATTCCTTGCCCCTGTTAACACAGAATATAGATCATTTTTAAGATCAGCTACCAATTTGATCTTCTCGAACCGCTCAGATAAAAATATAAATATATATATACATAAAGGGAAAATACGTGATAAGGGCGAGAAGTTAAGCAGGCAAGCAGAACCTACGCCAGAACAATCTGGTTGACCGACTCAAGAGTTTCGCTTCAAAACGCTCAGCAGGGTCAATTTTATTTTAGTGTATATATGTGCATATATATGTATAGATTGGTATGCATATATGTATATATAGTGATATTTTTTAATTCTGCTTTTAATTTTGTGTTGTAAATTTTCTAACGACGCACTAGCGTGTTAAAATTTAAAATATGAAATTAGATAAAGTTAGAATTAGCGTTTCATTCATACAAAGAGTGTAGATATGAGATCAGATAAGTTCAAAAGATGTATCAAACATTTGGCCCTCATGTGCGTTTCGAAGCGAAACTCTTGAGTCGGTCAACCGCATAAGTCAAATGCTATTAAATACAACAGACATTTTGTGTTGATTAATTTTATTGATTGACATTTCCAAATTACGAATAATGCTTCTCAGATAAGTACATTCCAACAGAAATTGTCCAAAGTTAATTTCGGGAGAAATATGGTCCATGCTTGGACCATATTTATTCCGAAATTAACTTTGGAAAATTTCTGACGTAATTTCCTCCTTATCTGAGTAGGGTTATTCGGGATTTGGAAAAGTCGATCAATAAAATTAATCAACACCAAATGTCTGTCTAATAACATTTTGCCATAAAGAGCATTTGCTGCCTAAATACACAGAATATATATATATATATATATATATATATATATATATATATATATATATACATATATATATATTTGGTTGGATATATGTGAGTTTTAGACCCTGGGTTTCACGCTTTAGCGATCGTCAGACAAACAGATTAATATTTTTAAAATTTTGGTTTTATGTAGATTGCGTGTATTGGTGTTATTATGGAAGTGGGGCGGGGAACGTCGTCGTTGTGTCATCGTACTAACGCAAACATCGATGTATGTTCATACGCCTAATGGAGTACGCAGACACACATACACACTTGGTCGTCCGTCGGCACTCATACATATATAAACATATGTGGGCAGTTTCGGATATGACATATGTATGTATACGGGTGGTGTTGTGTCTATACATACGCATTTGTATGATGAAATTCAAAGATTGGAAGTGTAGCGAAAATTTCTCGTGAATGTATACATGTCATATTTTTATTTTTCCACTGAATAATATTTCCTCGCATGTATGTATATACGTTTTTTTTTTTTGTTTTTTTTTTTTTTTTTTTTTTTTTTTTTAAGGTATTAAATATGCTGGGGGAGTAATATACGTTAATGATTATAGTGGATTTATATGTTAATAGTAGATGTGATGTGTAAGTGATGGTGTTGGGTGTTGGTATATATATATATATTGAAACGACATGCTGTACTGCTTGGCATTCACACTGGAAGCTCCAATACAAACATTTCGACGTGTTCGTGTGTCAATGAGAACAATGCAGAGGATTCGAAAACAGCTGAATGAGTCTAATGGTGATTACGAAGGTGTTTGGAGTTATCAATAGTGTTGACGACGTTATACCTCCATTCACCGCCCACAGGGCCTCAGACTCAACACGGAGTTCTACAACAGTGCCTTGAAGAGACAGTGCTGCCCTGGGGCAAGAGGTGGCTGCTGGATGATCCTGTGACTGGCAACAGGACTCTCCACCATGCCACACAAGCAAGAAAACCCAGTCATGGCAGTCAGACAATTTCTATACCACATCAACCCTTACATCTGGCCACCTAACTCCCCAGACTGCCACCCTCTTGATTATTATATGTGGGACGCAGTTGAGCGAGTGACCAACAAAAGTCCTTGTAACACCAAAGATGAACTGAAGGGAAAAGAATTATAGCAGCATTCACCAATTTAAACGTCCAGAAGAGTTGCAGGAGATTCCGAAGTCGTCTGGAAGCCGTGGTTGAAACGAATGGCGATTTTATTGAATAAATTTACTCTTTAATATTTCAAGTTATTTTTGTGTAATTTTGGCAAATATATCTGTTAAAATAAGATGTCATTGTTATTTTCATTTTTGCGTTATTTAGACAACCCTTTTATCCATCGCACCCTATATATATATATATATATATATATATATATATATATATAGATAGATAGATAGATAGATAGATAGATATATTGTGTATTTGGGAAGATATACATCATATCCATCTTTTATACAAGTTTCATTAGAGACGACTGACATGGTACCGCGTCTAAGTTATTTTATTCAATTTTTCTTGTGTTTGTACAAGTATTTTTTTTTCTGGCTGGAAAACTGTCCGAATGTTCTATATAACCGAGCGCTTTCGGCTATTCTGTTAGCCTTCATGTTTTGTTTTGTTTTTTTTTTTAATTTTTATTTGTGAACCGAATATGTAGATTTTTTTATATGTAACTGGGATGGTGGGAATAGTGTTTTTTTTTTTTTTTTTTTTTTTTTGATTTTTAATAATGAGTGTTAAAATACTCGAAAGTGTTCGGATATATAGAAAATTCGAACACACTTTATGTCCAGAAAAAAAATCAGAAGTCGTCTTTAATGAAACTTATATATATATATATATATATATATATATATATATATATATATATATATATATATATACGCCCCCAAACAAAACAGCTCTCATTTAACCGCCATAGAGAAACCTTTCTGCCTGCCATCAGCATAGTTGACGCTAGACTCCTGGATAGCAAGACATCGCGCCTCATGTTTTTAAAATGAAGCGACTACATCGAATCAATAGATTCATCTACTGTAAGGAATGTTGGGTCACTGTGACGAGCCAGAAAATTTTTCTCATCAGAGGCCATCTTTTACATTTACAAATCTACCATTCGTCCGTGCATTGAATATTGCTGCCATGTTTAGTCTGCTGCTCCTGCTATTCACGTCGAGTTTCTTGACAAAATCCAAAGAAGGATCTGCAATGTAATCGATCCTGATCAGACATCTCGACTTCAATCACCTTTTCAGTGACGTGGCGTGGCTTCTCTTTGTTTTTTCTACAAATATTTTTATGGCACGATTTGGACAATTTTGCTGTTAAACCCGGTATATATAACTCCGAGGTCCAGGCGATCGACACGGGATTTATTTCAATATGATGCTCTCTCTTGCTGATGTGACTCTAAACTTCGAACCGTCTCATTTGCACATATGTCGAGAGGGAGAGTTAGAGAAAAAAAGCATCATTCAAACCCAGTCGAGAGCAAAAAGGAAAAAAAAATCACACATTTTCTATCGCCTGTCAAATATGGTACTGTCATGTTATGGTCATTTATTGACACAACAAGATCTATTTTGCATGTTTTTCGAAACCCGAACCTAAGATGAAATGCTTTTATATCCATTGTCATTTGGTAATAAACAGAGACAATTTAGCTATCATTACATTTATGCTTACAACGCTTATCTAAGTTTAGCATAAGGCCATTGTCATGAATCGTTTATTGCGAAAGCGAACGCAACAGCCTGGAATTTAAACTCGGAGAAAAACTTTGTTAAAATCAATTCAGTTTGGTTTGGTTTACGGCATATAACCTTTATGGGTTATTTTATGCCGACAATTTTTATTGCTCGTATTTTTTTCTTCGAAAAATGTGTTGCTCTTAATTTTTTTTTCTTCAAATGTATTGTTGGTAATATTTTTTTTAACAAAGTATTTCTGGTATTAAAATCTATTTTTTCACTTTCATCGTGTGTTGACCCCAGTATGGGGGTTAACTATTTGCCCATAGTTGGGACCCAAACAGGTGCTACCACCCCGGCTCTGGGTGGACCTGGGAACACCAGCAATTAAGTGGTGATTCCACACTCCTCAAAACCTCCTGATCAGACGCCTTGCTGTTGGACGTAGTTTATCGTTATACCCATGCCTTGCTGTTGGACGTAGTTTATCGTCATACCCAGGCCTTGCTGTTGGACGATCGTCATACCCAGGCCTTGCTGTTGGACGTAGTTTATTGTCATACCCAGGACGGGGAACAAATCAAAGAATACTGAACTGCTAAGTGATACCTGTCCTCCTATATGACAGTAAATGCTGGAAAATATCCTCAAAGATAAGAGACTTGAAGCAACAGAAATGTGGTTCTGCAGAAAGATACTGAGGATGCCCTGGACAGAATATATAAGAAACGACAAAGTTTTAGAGAAAATGGAAACAAAAAGGAAATTTATATTTGACATTAGGAAAAGGCAGTTGAAATTTCTTGAATACATAATGAGGAAAGAGGGTTTCGAAAATCTGACACTCACAGGACAGATTGAAGGCAAGAGGGACAGAGGAAAACAACGCATAACATACTTAGTGAGCTTGAGTAAATGGATGGCGGAACAGGGTTTAGGTGAAATAACAAAAAGATAACATTTATTAAGAACAATAAGAACAGGAAATTGTGGAGAGCCGTGATCGAATAGATCCTAAAGGGACGCTCACATAAAAATGAAGACACTGGCAAATTCAATGTGGAGACATGAGTAAAGGATCTTTTTCTGGTCGGCCAGCGGCTTTTAGATCTGACACTTTTACAATCAAGCTATCTCTCCGACAGCTCATAGGCAGTATACAACTTAAACCGTCCTAAGCGACAATGGCTATCGTTTCAGAGTAAGCGAATCTCTTTGTCTTTCTCTGTATTTTTAAGTCTTTTTCCCTCACTTCTCGCGCGCCGACCGACATTGAGTTCAATTAGTGTCAGGACTGCAAAAACAATGGCTTGTGACGCACCATGTCATCTCCCTGATCGAGCCACCTACCTGCCACACATGTCTATTCTCCCTGGCGTCATCACATTCGTCAACAACATCGGCGTTAGCTAAGTTATCACAGGACTGGGCAAAAGATCTCGAGGACTAAAAGGCATGGCTGTGTGCCCTCTGCGGGATATGATTACGTTAATAGTGGATTCCTTGCATGTGTGGAGGGTAAACTCTTTGAGGGAGCAAGAACAGATTGTCTCGGAAACGAGTCTTAATTATTAAACTCCATGGTTGGTGATTTTGCTTCGTTGTATCATGAATAATGTTCGTACAAGGAGCTGTTATCTCTAATATTCTATCAGCTTCTCCGCGTCCTTGTGAGTAGCAAATTATTTTTCATCCTAAAACCGCTTTCACACAGTTGAAACATCGCAAGCTTCTCGCTGTTCTATCGCTATTTCCATGAAAAGTTCTCGGGCGAACTACATTCCTGAGTTCCATCAGTACTATTCCCTTCGCATTCCATTGGTCAGATATAAGTTCCACTTGAGCAGCTTCTTCCCACGAACCACTACTTTGTGGAACCGACTCCCAAGAAGATGCTTTTCCGATAACTACAATATTAGCCTGTTCAAAGCTAACTTTAACCATTTTCTTCCCTACATATCCGCGTAAACCCTCTATCTCGAGTGGCTTTCGTGTCTTGTACAGCGTGAACATCATTGTAAAAAAAAACATGACAAACGCTTTCCAAAATGTAGATATTCAATTCATACGTGATACACGCTTCGGCGATCATGTTTTTTCGATTCATGACTGACGAGGGAGAAGATTTTCTTGCAGTATGTTGCATTTCTTTCTGCGGTAGACTGGTTGCCAACGAAGGTTATAAAAATTATATAGCCTGATGATGAAACGCGTATTGATTTATATACAGTATACATTTATTTTTCAACATAATATCCTTCTTTGACGATGTGATTGACCCATTGCTCTTTCATTAATCATATACAGTGTAACCCGGATATAAGAGACCCGGATATAAGAGAAACCCGGATATAAGAGAGATTTTATCTGGTCCCAAATTAGAGCCTGTGTTAATGAATATAAAATAGACCAAACCCGGATATAAGAGAAACCCGGATATAAGAGACTTCTCCGGTCCCGACCTCTCTCTTATATCCGGGTTACACTGTATATAAAATGTTATACAGTGAAATTCCAGATAATAACTGTGTCAGGCTATAAAGTTATTGATCCTCTTTTAGAACTAAAATAAATAAAAAATATGCTTAGAAAAAGCCATAAACTACGGCCAGAAATTGTCCTGTTTAGGTTAAAATTCTCATATTCCAGGAAAATATTAACACTGACGACGATTTATGGATAGTAAAAGTTATAGAGTAAATAAGTAATATTTTCGTTTAAAATAAGTAATTATTAAAAGTAAAATAACGTTAGACAAGCACGGATAATTTAACTACATGTCAGTCCCTGATAGGTTATTTAATATTGACTATAAATCTTATAGGATAAAATCACAACGAATCGATAAAAAGATAAACAGAGCCCTGGTCAAGTAAAAAAAGGTAAACAGAGGCCTGGTAAAGTAAAGAAAGGTAGACAGAGATTTGATAAAGTAAAGTAGACATAGGTTTGGTAAAGTAAAGAAAGGTAGACAGAAGTTTGGTAAAGTAAAGAAAGGTAGACATGGGTTTGGTAAAGTAAATTAGACATAGGTTTGGTAAAGTAAAGAAAGGTAGACAGAGATTTGGTAAAGTAAAGTAGACATAGGTTTGGTAAAGTAAAGAAAGGTAGACAGAAGTTTGGTAAAGTAAAGAAAGGTAGACATGGGTTTGGTAAAGTAAAGTAGACATAGGTTTGGTAAAGTAAAGAAAGGTAGACAGAGGCCTGGTAAAGTAAAGAAAGGTAGACAGAGGCCTGGTAAAGTAAAGAAAGGTAGACAAAGGCCTGGTAAAGTAAAGAAAGTTAGACAGAAATTTGGTAAAGTAAAGTAGACATAGCTTTGGTAAAGTGAAGAAAGGTAGACATAAGTTTGGTAAAGTAAAGAAAGGCAGACATGGGTTTGGTAAAAGAAAGGTAGACATGGGTTTGGTAAAATAAAGTAGACATAGGTTTGCTAAAGTAAAGAAAGGTAGACAGATCTCTGGTAAAGTAAAGAAAGGTAGACATAGGTTTGGTAAAGTAAAGAAAGGCAGACATAGGTTCAGTTTTACACAAGAGATGAAAAAGATTATCATAGATCTGCTTTACATTAGATTGACAAGCAGACATAGATCCAGTTTGCCTTAGAAATCAAAAGGGAGACATAAGTGAAGTTTGCATTTGAGTAAAAAAGGGAGTCATCGGTCCAATTTGTATTTGAATAAAAAATGTAGACGCAGATTCAGTTTGCATTTGAATCAAAAAGACAGTCATGGGTCTGGTTTGTATTCAATTCAAAATGCTTGAAATTGGTTCGGTTTGCAGTAAGGTTAAAAAGATAATCATCGATCCGGTTTACACTAAAGTCTTTAGACTCTAGTGTAAACCAGATCGATTACCTCTTTTAACCTTAGTGCAAACCGAACGTATATCAACCCTTTTTTAATCTAATACAAACTGGACCTATGACTGCCTTTTAGACTCTAAAGCAAGCATAAGTCCGGCTTCCACTAGGTTGCCATAGATAGATATAGGCCCGGTTTGCACGAGTTAAATGTTAGACATTGGTCCGGTATACACTAGAATAAAATAAAAATGAAGGTAAACATAACTATGGTTGCCACGAATAAAAAGGTAAGAATTCGTTAGATCCATACCCGAATTTACGAGTATCCACTCAGATGACGTTATTTATCGCTCTGCAAAGGATGCATTCGGCGTATCCTAAGGCTCTCAGCAGAAAAATTAATAAAATAAGTAATATATTATTTTATTTAACATAAGAAAATAAAAAAAGAACAGTTTAATTTATGGGAATGAAATCAGTGTATTATCAATTTAAAGGAACTACTTGCTTCTTTCAAAATCTGTATGTAAATCCATGAGTTGCTACTTATACCCTTTAAAAGTTTTGTAGTCATTTTTATTTTTCATAAACTAGTTTAATAAGATATTGCTTCAATTTTTGTAGATTAAATAATACTATCATCTTATTTAATTTTACAGTGTCGCGCTAGTTACCTTTTCTGAATCTATCTTACATATTTATAAGCCTACCATTCGTCCCTGCATTGAATATTGCTGTCACATCTGATCTGGTGCTTCTTCTATGTATTTAGAGGTTCTTGATGTTCTCCAAAGAGTAATCTTCAATATTATCGGTCCTAACTTGGCATTTCCAGTTCAGTCACTTTCCAATCTTTGTAACCTAGCGTCTCCATGTTTTTTTTTTTTTATAAAGATTTACATGGTAATTGTTCTGCTTACCTCTTTGGTACCTAGAGTTTACGAATTTAAGCGCAGTACTAGATTGGCAGTAAGGTCTCATCATTTTACAGCTGAAATGGCTAGATGTAGCCGTAAGTTCGATGCTAACACTTCTCGCTTGTGGAAATCTCTTCCGTCTATTTGCTTCCCAGTCAACAAGGAAATTCACAAATTTTAATGGCCTATCAATCGCTATCTTTTGTCCCCTTAACTCCTATTCTTTTATTATTCTATATCTTTAATAATATTTTTATGTTTTTCTCTTATTTTTTCACACTCGGTAATCTCTTTCTCTTAATGGTCTTATTGTCTTGGTTGGGACGAAAGTGGTTAAATAAATCGTCACCCATTAGTTTATTAAATTACTACTTATTTCACGACTAAACTAAATAATCAGGTGAATATCAGTTTACGCATGCGCAATAAAGCCCTATCTGATTGTCATGTAATTTACAGCAAGGCCACACATAGGTTCTCGAGATATTTAAAATAGCTCAATACATTCCAAACTGACTTCGTATTGCGTTTATGCAAAAGTTGCAAACATTTTCTGACCAAATTTTTTATTGATACAAATTCAGAACTTCGTCTATGTTTTGTCTTCTTTCGTTTTTTACCTGCAATTATTATCCTTGAATTTCTATCACATTACGCAACCCTTTCAGCTAAATTGGGGAATCCATGATAAAAGAAAGCTTCCGATTTTGATGAATTCTTTGGCAACTTATTTTCAACTTTTTGGAATCTCTGACCAGACAAGAATTGTAACATGCGATCAATGAGGAAGTTTTGGGGCAAAAAATGAGAACAATAAAGGCACTTAAATTAGAATCATAATGTTGAAATTTCTATGATTCATAATGAGGAAAGTGTGGTTGGAAAATTTTATACGCACAAGTCATATTGAATGCAAGTTGGGTAGACGGAAACACCAAGAAATCTAACTAACGAGACTGTGTAAACAGAACACAGGGACTTAGAGGGATAGTAAGGGAACAAACATTGCTTAGAGCTACAGAGGATAGGAAGTTGTGGAGAGCCATGATCAACCTACATAATGAGCTTGTGTAAATGGATAACAGAACAGGGCCTGGAAGGGATATTAAGATGACAAACATTGCTTAGAGCTACAAAGGATAGGACGTTGTGGAGAGCCATGATCAAACTACTTAATGAACTTGTGTAAATGGATGGCAGAACAGGGACTCGGCGGATATTAAGGTGACAAATATTGCTTAGAGCTACAAAGGATAGGACGTTGTGGAGAGCCATGATCAACCTACATAATGAGCTTGTATAAATGGATGGCAGAACAGAGACTGAGGCGATGGTAAGGTGATTGATATGCCCGGAAAAGGATATATTTGAACGAAGTAGCTAAGTGGTTTTGGCTACTATAACCAAGTAGAATACGGTAGCAGTAATCGACTGGTACGCGTCGTAGTTACAGGTAAGAAGTGTATATCAATGGCGTAGTCCAATGGGCGTCGTTATAGACTTAGCTCTCAGACTAAGGCTCTTTGACTCTCCTACACGTCCGTCGGTATTTATGACGGACACCAGCCAATTATATTCCATTGAGGGGGGAACACAGGTGTATGCATATTCCATTATATCAGTGATAAACATTGCTTAGAGCTACAAGGGATAGGAAGTTGTGGAGAGCCATGATTGCTCACGTTTTGAAG